CTGGATGATATCTAGGAAATTGGAGTAAATAAATAATTAGAACGTTAGAAAAGTATGCAAGCGCAATACCATTGCGAATATTTTCCAATGTATTAAATCATTTGCGATTCATTAAGCCCGTCACCTTTCGACGCAAAAGAGCGAAACCAGATTTGGTACAATTATTCTTACTTGGCGGTAACGGTTCTGTAAGTTAAAATTATAGTAATTTTAATGACTACACATCCATTTAACATAAGAAGAATTTAGCATTTATCAAGAGTTAAACATTAGAATGATATTAATAACCAAAAATGTTTCTTAATAGTTTTATATTTTGAAACACTTTATTTAATACAGTTCATTTTTTGCCACACTCTATCTGACGTCATTTGCATTTTACTATTCAAATTTCTCTTATGACAACTTTTTAACTACAACAAATCTTACACTATTAATACATTTTTAGTCTAGCAAACTTATACGCATCTTATCAATTATAAAATTATATAGATCGTGAGTAACATAGCAGATTTCAGCAACAAATAAATACTTCTCATATTTATATGAATGTATAACTTACCTTTGCATGCACATTTCTGATAACCTGAAAGTGAACTACGGTAAATGTTGTCAAATTTAGAAAACGTTGGCAATTCGAAAATTTAGTTATTTGAAATGATAGTCATTTTGATAGTTACATAACACTTATTTTACTTCGGGATCCAGAGAATGAAGAAACAGACAAAATCAAAAAAGGTGGAGAAGAAAGAACAGAAGAGTCATTCGCCGATGTAAAAGAGACAGAGAAACACAAAGGCGGAGAAAAGGTAAGATGAGTACTGCAGAATTTGTCGAATTTGACATACAGTGGGGTCATAATAGTTTGAAGCAATAAGTCAACTGTCAGTTTATAGATATTTTGCTGCATGAGTATGAGTTGTCCAGGGCGCACCACGTGGAGGTAAGTCTATCGCACAACCCGCATTTCGAAAATAAATGTCATAGTACGTTTTGCTCGTATGTGGACAGAGATATCTTTACAGACGCCAGTCTTTACCCAAAGTAATAAATATTCCAGCATAAATTTATCTTTTATCAATACGACGATGGCTATTTTGGGACTCTCTTTTTTAGGTTTAATTGTTTCCATAGTGTGAAATGAAGGAGGATTGATCCGTTAATGAATTGTTATAAAGTAAAGCGAATAAGAATTTACCTATTATTTATGGCAAAAGAGTCTAAACTCTAGTTCAGAAAAGCCTTATCAAGTATTTTCAATGCATTACAAAAAGACACCCAGAGCCATCTCATCGTTACTTTTATTGGTTAACTAGACAGCCAGCCATTTTTCACATATCCACGATCTTTTCGAAGAATAACGCTTTCCGGAAATCCAATCATTCCATCTAAGGCACTGCTATCTCCTACTTAAATTCCCCTATCGATTATTATTTCCCTTCTTTACAGAAGAAGTTAGTTGAAGAGGAGCAGTTCATAGCGCAAACTTATGAAATATATTTGTCGCCTTAATGAACGAATCTCTTGCAAATCAAAGATTCACTCCTTTTTTCCTGATGTCTAATTAGAGCACTGCTTCAGAATGGGAAAATACACTGTTGTTAACTTTCTCTCCTTAAATGCAATATGGATTTTCACAAACGTTGTAAGAAAATCTTTAAGATGGTTTCAATGTGACATAATATTATATTTTTTTAATGATAAAGTTAGCTAATCGTTTTAATGAAAGTTGAAAATGTGAAGAACACAGCACATAAAGTAAAATTGACGTAATTGAAATGATGAAATGCTGCGAATATTTTATTCATCCTCAGTTTTATGTTCCGAGTTTGAAAGAATTGAATTTGGTGACGGCGAATCGGCTTGTCTGTAAAAAGGTTTAGAAAATGATGGTGTGTTTAATATCTTTGGAAACAAACAAAAATGGGTATTAAAACTAATTTCAAGGATGAACACCTCTAAATTCTAAAACAGTAAATAATAAATTAATAAAATAGTTAGAGCCAATTATGAAGGTTGAGTTTTATGACACTTTGATTTTATAAGGGGAATAATAAACCTCATTAGAATGTCTGCAAACTAAACTCGAATCTAGTCATTCCTCTACTATGTTATTCTGTTCTGTAATTGGATGTAATTTTTACAAAAATAATAATAATGAACATTTACCGCTCCCTTTTGGCTCGCATAATTTCAAGTTGACTGGTGCCAAGTGGGTAATAGTAAAGTAGTAGAAGTGATGGAATAAAAAGTGCGAGAGGAATAAGAGATCCAAGGACACGGAGAGCTTGAGCTACTATGGGTGATTGACCACATCTGTTGGAAGATTTATAACCAAAATATCTAAAATAGGCAAAAAAACATTTGAATTTAAGATTTCTGACTACACCTTAAAACAGAAAAATATGACTGAATATCATTGGCTTAAACTCACTCCAAAAATGCAGCTGAAATTGCCAAGGACACACCGACAGCCAATTTATTACAAAATACAATAAGAGAGTAGAAAACTGATTCCGGGCGTTCACCAATCTCCAGTTCATATGCATCAATTACATCTGGGAGCATTGACCTGCAAGGAGAAGGGGAGAACTCGAACACTTATGACTACTTAAATGTGATTAAAAATAAGTGCGAAAAATACCATGGAAGAAGGAGCCCAACGGAGAGAGTAAATGCCTGCACAATCATTATAGAGAAAAAAATACCAAGATGGGGCCTTTCTGGGAGGAAGAAGAGTACCAATGTAGGAATGAATGCATTCTGAGAAAAATGAATAGAATCAATAAGTAATTGATCTGTTAGGAACGAAATTTAAAGTAACAAGGTTGAGAGTTGTTAAAATGTAATTTATGTTTGATCAATTAAGTCCTGATAACAGACTTAGGCTGCTTGTCGTTTTTTTTTCCGTTGAAAAAAGTCAGGACTTACACAAAGGGCAATGGACATTGTAATCTTCTTTCCAATTTTCTTTTGAATAAACTGTCCAAGTGGAATAAAAAGCACTGCAGCTCCAAGAAGGCAAATAATGCCATAGTTGAGATACTTGGATAATTTAATTGTGTGAGCTACGTAAAGACCAAAATTGGTTTGGGAGAACTGTAAAATAAAAAGAATATGTAAGTGATTCTTTGTGATAATTATTATTATTATTTCAAATGGCAGGCTTTATGATATTTATCATTAGCCCAAATCAAATCAAATGCCGAGTATAATCATAATTAATCGAAGTCAAAAACGAATGCCGGGTGACCTAATCATAAATAATCGAAGTCAAAAACGAATGCCGAGTGATTTCTTTTTTAAAGCTAATCATAATAAATAGAAGTCTAAATGTCGAGTGATATACTTCATAATAAAGAGAAGTCAAATCAAATGCCGAGTGATAGACAAAAAACGAATGCCGAGTAATAGACTTTTTTGCCGTACGAAGATACGTTGTCCAGGGTGCACCACGTGGAGGTAAGTCTATCGAGCACCCCTCTTTGTGATAATTATATTATCAGAAGTTACTTGTTAAGCATTGTCAAACAACAAAAATATTCCGGTCGATTTCGATTAACTATTTTGGTAGCGGGGAGGGAGAGACACAAAAATAGGAAAATCATTAAAATGATTCATCAATTTGGAAGTACAGTTCGGAAATTATAAATTTGTGGCATTCGAGTGAATCACAATTAAATAAGCTCAGTAAATCCCATGTAAATATCCTACTAAATTCATAATTCATCCTGAATTTAACCTTTACTGTTTATACTCAAATTCATTCAATAGCCTTTGAATAACTTTGGTGTTTCTCAAGCTTTGATGATTTATCATGAATCGTAAAGTCAAGTTCTGTTTTAATGAGAACTTAATGTCCCCCTATATGTTTCCATTTTTTCATAATTTGAAATAGTCTGCTCAGTGTTCATCACGACATGTTGCATCTATATTCAAATAACTCCATTTCAATAAGTATTAATTGAATGAAATGATTTCAACTTATTTCAAAACAATCTAGTATGCTCATACACAAATATCAAATCGTTGCTGGCGAAAAAAACATTGATTGAACCAATTGACTGGAAAATGAGCCCACAAATGTCTAAAAAAGGATTATAAAAATAATAGACAGTAGTGAAATTGACTGGAAACCATAAAACTATTTTTGCCTCAACTGGATTGGTTTATTCGTCTTTACCCCACACAATTCATATTCATCTATTCATACATTTATAACTTCAACAAATTATTATATTAATATTGTGGAACATTTTCGAAAAATTTTTAATTTTCACATGATATAAATGGTGATGCAATTGTGTGGGTTTATAAAACAATCATGTGTTTAATGCGCAATCAAAAAGATACTCGATTTCGTAAAAAGAACAATGATTTTTCATCATACCTGTATTCCCAAAGAGAAGAAGAGATAGAATCCCATATGAAGGAGGTATGGTTTGAAGGTAAAAATGCTTCGAGATGCTTTGAGAAAACCCTTCAATGACCTGTCCTCCCTTTCTTGCTCACCCTCATAAAGCATGGTATTAATCTCTTTGGTTCCAAAGAAACAGATTAAAGCCGCAACTGTCCCAATTACACAAGTGACTGCAGCCGCAACTTTGTATGCCCAGATCTGAAATAGGAAATTATGCATATAGGCATTATTATTTATTTGATAAGGATTTTCTATTTACTGATCATCATTTTTAATAACTCCACAATATTTATATTGACAAGCAAATTGAATTGCAATCAATAGGTTCGTCTGATCATTTAGAGATCACGAAATCGATGATCGTCTGTGCACATTCAGTGGTATGAATGTCTAAAGGTAAAGATTAACTCTATTGAACGAAGAGATTGGTAGAATGGAAAGAAATCAATCGGGATCCATTTTCTACATGAGATGGGTTTCGCTAGAAGTTTCTTTAATTGATTAGATTTTTCTTCCTTATTTTGAATTCTCTGCACTTTAAATGCTAATTTCCTCTGTTCTGAATGTGGCGGAATAAAGTTCCCTCAGTAACCTGGGAAGTCATGGCTACTGATAAGAGAAAAAAGAAAAAAAACATAACAAGGCATTCTATTATGCAGCTGAGTTTCACGGTCTAATCTATATGGAAGATTTCTTAAGCGTTTTTCAAGAAGAATTGTCAATACTTTTGGGTTAAAAGATTGTTGGAATAATAACATAAACCAATAAGATTACAGAGACCTTCGTAAAACGAGCATAGAGATATCATACGGCATAACAGTAATTTTCTCAAAAATTACTATTCTGCTTTGATCTTTTTCGTGTACTCGATTCATTGAATGCTTTGTTTTCTCTGATAAATGCATTTTTCAGAAGTTAGTAGAGCCACTAAAATGTGTATAGAAGTATTTCTATTTGTCATGACTCACATTTAATACATGAAAATGTATATGTCGGAATAGAGTGATATAGGCTAAGATGCTCTTGGTAATATTGTTATGAGCTTCTGAAAGTAGAAGCTCAATAACGTTATTTATAACGAGATTATCCAGTCACCTTAGCATTAGGTAGATAATAATACAATAAAGATGATAATTGAATAGTGGTTTCATGTATACCGTTAGCAAGTTGAGTAATAAAGTGTGGAAATGACGCCATACCTCTGGATCTTTGGAAATTGGAGCTACAGTAGTCATTCCTACTGTTCCGTTGGCACTTAATTCCTCGCATTTTACAGCGGTTCGGAAGGGTGCGATAATGGATCCAAAGACAGCCACACCGATAAGGAAGGCAAATACCTCAGAAAACATACCTAAATCAGAAAATAGGGACCATTTACTTTGGGAATAAGTAAATGGACTGAAGTCTTGTAAATTAGATTGGCCATAGAGACAATTTAATAGAAAAAGCAAATTTTCCTCCCACGAACATTGGGAGTATTATTTAATGGCATATGAATGCAAAATCATCACATTTACATAGATATTAATCGATTAAAAGTAGGTTAAGGATATTTTAAATATGTTTAATATTACGTAGAAGCAGAGCACCTAAATATTCATTCAAAACAGATTAGACACTTCGAGATTGCCTGTAGGCTATAATAAAAAATATACTAAAATTAATAACTAAGGTGCATGCTTTAACCAATAACCGCTTTAAATTTACTAAAACATAATAAGATGATAACCGAGATAAATCATTCGCGTCTAAATATTATGGAAGGTGCGATATGCTGAATTAATTTAAATAAATATGTTGGTTTTGGGACACTTCAACACGTTAACATTATTCCTCACATACATTCGATTTCATCGCTAAAGTTGACAAAGTTTAGATAATAAGGGTCATTTTTGTACCATTGAGGATCGTTAAAGTTTAGCCAAGGTTCGTACCATATAAATTTTATCGCAAAAAATAATAGTAAAGGGGAGAAACAATGTCCCAATTGATTAGCAACTTTACTCTGTGTGGTCAAGAACTATGCCTCTGTAAGGACACAGAAATGATTGATCCCACACATAAGAATAGATTAGTAGTATGTGGACGCATTTAGCTCTTGATACTCTGACAATTCGTCAGTGTTTTGACGAATATCCTTCACATGTAGCGATTTGGTCGTTAAAGGTAGAGTATTAAAGGAATTCGTTCCCATAATTCTTCATTATTTGCTAATCTATTCCAATTCTCTATTTGTCATTTGTTCATCAAAATGAACTTACTTGAAACTTGGTCATAACAGAGGTAGGCATTATTATTACTAGCAATTACTATTTGTTAGCAATTTATCACATTTAGAATGGCTATCTCATTTGTTGTCATGCCTAATTTGGAATAAATCCATCTAAATTGAAAACCCTCTTTTGAATTCTACTACTTATTGGTGGACATAATGAACTTGTAAACGTTTGGGAGCTGTCCATTTAATTTTCAAAATAATGGGAAAAATATACCATTGTGCTAGCTTTCACTACCAATTAATTGAGTTGGTCAAGGCTGGGATATCTACTTCTAAATAAAACTAATCGACTACCTACAAGTGACTCCGATTGTATCTACCAATCAGCCTACATTGCAGCTCAAGATTGATTCGAAGGGTAATATGAACGTAGAAATGAAACATTGGTGTTGAAGTATAAATAGTAAATCCAACCTATTATAATAACAACTTTAAGTAAGCGAAATTGCATCAAGGGGCACAAAAGAATAAATATGGGTGTAAATTAATGAAATATTGTTGATTTGACAGAAAAAACTGCCATTAAGAACCATTTATACTAATTTTTACAGTGGATACCAATTAACAGAGTAGAAAATTTGAAGTGCATTCACAACAAATATGTTTTGTATGCATGATACAGTCATTTAAAAATTACTTATGCACTTAACACAAAAATATTTCTCGCAAAAAACTGACAATAAACCACTTTGCACAGTGAAAGAAAGTAGACATGATAAAATGAAAACCATGTCTCACAGTAAGAACCAATGTACCTCTTACACATTACAAACCTACAACTAATGCTCTTGTTTAATTCGTATGACTTCGGCATGAATTACAATATCCAAATTTTGACGCTCTATTTTCAGACGGCTTCTCCATTAAGAAGAACATTTCTGCAAATCACCTCTCACTCGATTGTCAATTGACTTACTTCAATATCACTGAGTATCACCTTATCACCTTATCAATATCACCTTAGCCAACTTAAACAAAATATAGACTCCCACTAAGTCATTAACCTACTTTTATTGTCTCTCACAATTATCAGTTCCACTGCTACATCTATCTAACGGGTGAAAAGTAAGCTTTTAAAAAGGTTCATATCTCCACTACAAACCTATAAAGTTCTGGCGTTAGAAATAAACTAACGGTTGGCGATGACAATTGGCATTTCATTTAAGAACAAGGTTCATTCTTCACTCGCTTGAGTACAAGAATCTCATCTTAGTGCAAACAAGCAATTGTTAACTTACGACAAGCTGTTAAAACATCTCTTTCTTTGGGATTAGGAGTAAGCACCATTGTCATTGAACTGTAGGGAACTTGAAATGCCTAAAGGTAAATTTGCGGTGAGTGACTCAGGGCAAACAAACAAGAAAGGTATGCCTACAAACACTTACGGTTAAGCCAATTTGAAAGATCAAGTTTATGATAAGATAAAAAGCCAATTTTCCTTCAGGAGACCAGTCGACAGCAAAGTAGAGGAAGAAAAATGTGATAATCCAGGATGGAATCGAAAACAATAGCCTGTGTTGAAAAGTCAGACTAAAATACAAGCATTGCTTACCATGGTCGCTTTTGACCAAACTTCGACTTTGTGATGGTTACAAGAAATCCAGTAATTGGATCGGTAACGGCATCAACAATACGAGAAGCAAGAAGGATACCAGATAGGTAGGTTGGTTTCAATTCCGCAGTTTCAAGAAGAAAAAGAGCCAAGAAAAAACCGTTGATATTTTGCATTAATTGCATAGGAATGCCACCAATGCCGAAAGCAAATCTGCGCCATGTGGAAAGGCGCATTTTGCTATCTTTTTCATCCAAAGTAGTTTCTTGGTTAGTTTCTTCGTCAATAGTTTTAATATGATCAGAATTTTCAGCCATGTGGACAAGCAATACTACTGTTAATACAATATCAGATTTATGTAAGGGAAACTAAGCTCAAAACTCCACATATAAATTGACGTTATGAATTGATATATACAAACAATTAGAAGGATAAATTAGTACATGCAATAAAATGACTAAAGGAATATATTATTCAAAATAAAACAGCATTGGATTATATATTAAAACTATAAATTACTTTTTTAATTTATTTTTACCAATTTTGATAATAATGAGAATTCCACGACTTTATACAATTAACATCATATTCAATGTCCATTTGAGAACAAATTAAAAAAATCAAAACCAAAATCCTTTCTACCATACTTTAAATTAAAAGGTCCTAAGTTAATGTTTTTAGAATTCAATCCTTTTCATTTGTGTATTCATACTTACAGTTACTCATCTTAAACACCTGAAAGTACATATCCTTGGTTAAACTACATCAAACAAAGTTAAAAAATAAAGCTCCTTCTTTACTAGGGAAAATGTCAGAAAGAGCACAATTATTGACCTTTGGCTTTCTGAATCAATACCATCCACTGAGAATCTCTGATTAAATACCAACGACCAAGGTTACATTTTATATAAAATATCATATTTCAGAAATTACTTGCCAATGGTTCTCTAGACTGACTTTTGACATTTATTACTACATAAAATTAATAATTGGAATAATTTTAGTCTTTATTAACTCCTCAGTTAACGATGTTTTGAGATGATTAATCTCAAGGAAAGGGCACTATCATATTAAATCTCTATGCATTTGACATTTTAAACCCTAAAATGGTCCCATCCATTTTAAAATTACTTTCTCTTTCCACCTCTGTGATAGATCGTGTATTTTTAGTTTGGTTATGGGCAAATTATTTGAAATTAATTGATATCGATTCAATATCGTAAAATTGAGCGTTAAATGACTGTCAAAGAAGAGACCTGTCTAGGAACAAACATCTCGAAATTATATACTGGAAAACAATATAAAATTAAAGATGAAAGAGGGCTTCAATTGCAAGACCTATTCTTGCGGAATTGCGAAACTTTAACTCAAATAATGATTTGCCTCATTCAGCGAAAATTAACTTTGTGCCATGCCAATTAAACCATGGGATAATTGTTTAAAAATATGGGCAATTACCATTTCAAATTCCATTCTCTATATCTTAAAATATTTATTATTTATTTATTTACATTATAAAATTTGCAACTGGCGTTTGGTTATAAAATTGAACTATTTTCTGCACGCAAACGCCCAAATGCTGAGCCAAAATGATTTATCAGTGCCACATTGATAAAGATTCATTTCAAAAATATTTTAATGAATTTTAAACTAACTGGAACAGATTCGCAAAAAATTATAGAATTGCAAGAATAATCAATAAACTTATAGCAAATCAAAGCATCTTTCATAAACTAGTGAAAGCATCGATCTATATCAGAATTGGGTTCGCAAATGTGTGCACGTTTGGTGATGCAATATTAATAATAATAATTTTAACCATCAAAAAGGCCAAATTGAAATGCTTACATTTTTTGACCATGTGGGACACGTTATCACTGTTTAGTCTTTGACTTAATCACATAAAGGTAAATTCAAAATATCCTTTCACTGTAAAAAATAATCCTAATAATTCATGGTTTTGCGAAAATAAAAAGTACACTGATTTGAGTTATTTTTACAAAGTGCATAAAATTGCACCAGTTTAAACTGTAGTTTCTTCTCTTAACTATTGCCTTCCAGGTGTCTCCACGAGTTAATTGCACCGCCTATTTACCGACAAGCATGTCTGGAAAAATCACGCCTCTCTTGAGTGGATTTTTGTCACTTCTTCGCCGGATATTTCACTTTGGATACATGCCATTCATTATCTACCTGGGAATGACAAATCAAGGCTATCCATTGGAGCAACCCATCACTTTGATGAGCGTCCTTCTTCCTTTTGCTTCTCCACAATAAATCAACTTCCACACAAACCCCCATGTACTTATTTTAATCCAATTGACTGTATTATAGATAATTTACTTTTACTTTTCCTTTCGTTGATATTACAAAGAATTTGGGCTTCAGGGAATAGGGTATTTGGAAATAGGGTCAGAGCCTCAGAGCTGAATCTCTCCTTCAGGAAAGATCCCAGGGAACTACTTCTCATTAGGAGGTTCTCTGGTGTGTCGCCGGACTTGTTGCTGTAGTTCCATACTTTAGAAAAGGCTTCCCGGTCTGAAGATAGTTGAGCTAGAAGGTAAGCCAATGTCTCTGGTGTCTGATTATTCGCCAAAGCAAGGTGCAAAACGCTTTGTCCACTACTTGTCACTAAATTAAACAGAGAGGATGAGCTAACATGGGACGGTTACTACACTTTTGATTACTTAAGTGTTGGGCATTCAGCTGCATTAAGACTTACTAGCAGTGATATCAGCTCCAACTTCTAGGAGCAACCGAACGTAGGCGAGTTGATTCCAAAATGCGGCCGAATGCAGAGGCCTCCAACCATCCTCGGTTTTCGACTCAATATCGGCACCGCTCCGAATAAGAAACTAAAGGTAACACTCTTCCAATATATTCACTACCTCTGCCGCCGGAACTTGACCAGAATATACAGCCCTGTGTAGTGCCGTGTATCCATCCTCATCTTTAGCCAAGAGAAAATCCTTTAATCTCTTCGCCTCATCAGCCCAATTGGGACCAATTTCTGATTCAAGAATTGATTTCATCGTTCCAATGTCCCTCCTCTGGCCAGAAAGAATAAACAACTTCTTTGGGTCCTCTATACTACAGTAAAGTCAAAATCATGCACACAAACTTTTGAGCTCCTTTTTAGTCCAGTAGGAAATATCTTCCTCGTCAGCTTGCCATGCACTTACAAACATACCAGGATTGGTCTCCTTGGCACGCATAACTTCCTCTGTTGTGCGTAACAGATCTTCGTGCACATCATTCTCCGAATCTGAACTCATTCCGTCCTTGGCAGCAAAGAATGAATAAGTTGGGCAGGCGAAACTAACCCCAGACACAGAAAGAACTGCAAAACAATGTACTATTCACAATGCTTTATTTTGCAACAAGTACTATAAATATGCTAGTGGTACACATGGGGGGAGGGGGTAATTGAAATCAATCGTAGATATCATGCTTGTCGCAGACATATTGGACGATATCAAATGGTGTACGAAGTCGCAGTGCATCTGCACTAGGAATGTCAAACGCAAATTCCTCCTCCATAGCTACATTGACTTCAACCATGTCAAGGCTATCAAGACCGAATTCATTGACTATGTCAGTGTGAAGGGTAAGCTAATGTGGGTATAATAAATATCACAACTATATATTTGATATACCTTATTAGGATTGAGTTTATCATATAGCTGAAGAACAAGCATAACCCGGTCCTCAATCATAGGCTTGTTAAGTGGAGGACCGTGACTAAAATCTCTTTTTTGGACAGATGGAACGAAGAAGTGCGAGCATTTTTGAGAATCGAAAGCATCCGATCGAACGAATGACTGGATGATATCTAGGAAATTGGAGTAAATAAATAATTAG